TAGGATGAAAGACCCAGGAGAAATGCAGAAGCAGTGTCACTTAATGCTAATAGCATGCAGACAGTGGTGGGGACTGAGCAAGGAAATAAAGAGCCCTACTACCAGATCTGCTTTCACTTTGTCCCTGACTAGTAACATTGAGAATTTTCCCTGGTATACGTGAGAGAAATAATTGAGCAATTTCTGTTGTGAGCTCAGCATTTCTCATTGGCAGGCCTCCCAGATCAGGCTCGTAGTGACATTGCAATTTTGGGACTGTCCAGGAGTGAGTGAGGAAAGTGCTATGAGAGAAAGAAAGTGCAGTGCAGACAATATACAGGCAGTCCCCGGGTTACGTACAAGATAGGGACTGTAGGTTTGTTCTTAAGTTGAATTTGTATGTAAGTCGGAACTGGTACATATTGTAGGGGAAACTCTAGCCAAACATTTCTCCAGAGCTCAGTTTTATTCTCCCACACCTCACTTCCCTCAGCCCTTTATTCTCAAGCTGAAGTGTCTGCTGAGAAAAGCCGCTCCGCGTCTCCCTAGTCTACTGGGGGGGCGCTAGCTTCGCGTCTCCCTGGTCTGCTGGGGGGGCCGCTAGCTTCGCGTCTCCCTGGTCTGCTGGGGGGAAGCAGCTAGTGCGGGGTTGCCTCACCCCGTTTGTAAGTCGGATCCATGTAACGCAGGGACTGCCTGTACTGCTGTTGCTCACTGTTGGGTAAGGCGTTTCATTGGAGGGTCCCAAAGGGCTTTACAAAGGTGGCTATGGTGTAGGCTTGTAAAATGAGGCAGTGAGAACCAAGAACAGCTTTAGAGTCACGATTCCAGTCCTGCTGTTACCAGTACTAGTACCTTCTCTTACCTGGGACTGTTCTTTATTACCCAGCTGGATACTCCGCATGCTTCCAGCACTGAGGCGTAGTTGGACAGAGATGGAGATTGTCCTTGGTGCCCAAGACTGGCTTAATATCCCCTTTCTTTCCCATAAGTCAATTGTAAATGACTTGGGGCCCCATTCTGTGGATGCAGATCTCTGCATCCGTCTGGAGCCTCACTGGAAAGCAGTGGCTGGTGGCCTTGGTGAATGTCAATGACACCAGTGGAGGTGAAGGGCCAGATTGTGCGCTGACCTCAGCAGATGCAATTCCAGCTTTGGGTCCGGTGCCGCTGACCGAAAACCCCAAACAAGCCCTTGCCGACGTGGCCCCCGACAGAGAAGCAGAAAGACAGAGGCAGCAGTGCGGGGGGAGCCAGCTTTTCCCACATGTACTGGCTCACCCCTTGGTGCTGCTGAGTCTGATGCAGAGATAGCAGCATGGGAGGGAGGCCTGCATGTAGCTGTGCATGTTAACCGATGAGCCTGGTTAATTGTGGTACGTGTGTGCACCAGGGATGTCAAAGTGTAAACAAGTGTAGTTTTGTTTAAAAAGATGAAAGCGTTTTCCAGGGACGCTAAATAGACTGGAAAGCATGGTTGGCTCTCATAGTCGAGAGATGGCTAATGATTATGATTGGATTAGTGCCTGGCACGCCTGCATTAGGGTGCAGTGTTGCAGGCCTGTGTGTTCACTGAAGTCCAATTTATGTTTTTGAAGAACAAGTAATCTCTGCTGATTTTGAACTTAATCATCAGGTGAAAAATGCATCACTTGCTGGGAACCGCTCACTGCTTGGCAGGAGGTTGTTTCTGTTCCAGGTTCGACATTGTTCTCCCGAAACGGCTCCCCTGGAGCCGCGCATGCTGGCTCTGCATTCGGAGTTATTATCTAGACTCTGGTATTAACGAAGAACTGTTGTTGGAGGAGGTCGCCTCGCTGTATTTATTTATCCCGCTCCTGGCTGTGGTGACTGTCAGAGGATGAAAGTGGGCATTTGTGCAGTATGCGGCCCTTAAAGCTATTGCCTAGGAAACTCCGGACTGTGTTTTGTAGAGTGGAATAATGGCTTTGTTCTAAAACTGCTGCTCCGAAAAGAGTCCACATCAAGCTGACTCTACCTCTTCTTCCGCAGATCGTTTCTGTAGGTGAGCGCAGAGGGTCGTACATGACGCTCTGCCAGCAGGATGGGGTTGACCACTAGTGTGCCTAGGAGGCAAGAGACCCTGGTCTTATTTCTAGCCTGCTACTGCCTCCCTGAGTTTTCTTTGTGCAAATCAGTTTGTCGGCCTTCCTGTCTGGGAGGGGAGGCCAAAGATACTAACCGCCTTTTGGGGTGCTTTGAGGTCTGTGCGTGAAGAGCCCCATTGGTAGTCGGGGATTTTGTTTGGCGGTTAGAACAGTCCTCCTGATTTGTGAACCAAGGTCTCTTACTGTGGAGGCACTGAAGGTAAATAGAGAACCCCCCACGAAGTCACTTAGCTTCTGCTTGCATCACGTGTCCTCCACTCTCCTTTCATCGTGGGCCTTTCTGTGACAGAGCGAGCAGCCCTTGATTATCGGCCCCCGGGCTCTCCCGACCGAGCCTGTTCTTTGTACTAGAAACCCAGGCACTTCCTTCCGGGAGCTCACTCTTTGTTTCCCGATGGCCTTGCTAAAGGAAGGGGAGGAGATCTGCAGGGATTGCGGTAGGCGGCCAGGTTCCCAGGATGTATCCCGACAGCGTCCACGAGGGGACTTGCATTTTGCTGTTTGGTCGGAAAGATTTCCACCGCTCGGGGAGGGCAGCCGCTCAGGGCAGTTGTTACTAAAGAGCCAAAGGGTTCAATTATTAACAGAATTTTACACCCTTAGTACATGGCTCCCATGTTCCTATTAGTGTAGCCAGTTAGCTGGTAAGCAGAAACGTATAGGGTCATGCTATAGACTACATGCATTTCTCTCCCCCCACCCCAGCCAGTATAAGTTTTAGCAGGCTGGCCAGCAGCCCGGCTCAGTCTTCTGGGACCTACCCCCACTGCAGCTCTGCATTTAAAGGGTATTAGGAGCCAGGCAGGTAGCCCAGCTCAGTTCCGGCTTGTGCCGGGTGCAAGAGCTCAGCCCTCTCCACCCCCCAGACGGGCTGCTGCCACCCCATGCCAGAGGCAGCAGCCTGGGGCAGCAGGCAGCTGGTCTGTGAGGAGCTGGTTTTTAAACTGGCTCCCTTCACAGACCAGCTCCCGCCTGGCACCCCCCCTGTGCTGCTGCCTCTGATTCAGAGGGCGCAGTGCA